GGGGAAGCGGAGCCGGGACCTGCGGGCGCGTGTCCTCGGTTCCGCGTGCGCCTTCCCGCCTCGGGGCGGACGGGTGTGTGTGAGTGTGTGTGTGTGTGTGTGTGAGCGTGCGCCCGCTCCGGCGCTGCCCTTTCGGCACCTCCCGTCCCCTCCCGGGGAAGATCCTCGTCCTCCGCTGGGTTGGGAGGCAGCTGCCCTCCCGGGGCGGGCGGGTGCCCGGCGGAGCTGGGGCCATCCCTGCGGGGAAGGTGGGCCGGCGCTCCCCGGCATCCCTCCACACACACACACACCGCGGAGCGCGGCTCTCCGGCCGAACCGGGCCTCCCCCGGGGCTGCCCCTCTGCCTGCCCGCCGAACCGCTGCCTGCCTGCCTGCCTGCCCGCCCGCCCTGCGGCGAACCCACCTCCCCCTAGTCCCGGGCTCTCTCGCGGTATGAAAATCCCCTGCGCTGGTGGAAGCAAAAAAGCGATTTGTTGCCGGCAGCCCCTCCTTCCAGCCCTCCGAATGACTGGCAACTCCCGGCTCCCCTTGGGAAGCGGGGATGGAGCTGCCGCCTCCCTGCCGGACCGGAGCTCCCGGTACCCCGGTTAGCGTCGTGAGGTTTTAAGTCTGCCGATGCTCACCAGCTCTCGGAGACTTTCTTCTCGAGAACTTTTGCCCGAAGTTGACAGGCTACTGCTTACTTTATCGCTGCTCTTCGCTAGGCAGACGTTTTAGCCGTATAAACTCCCTTCTGTATTTTTTCCCCTCCCTTTAAAAGTAGCGATTTGAGGCTTTTGTTGACTCTGTGGTGGTGGTGTTAATCGTGGGAGTAGAAAGCAGGTGAGGAAAAGCAGTGGCTGTATATGTGATATGTGAGCCATGTGAAACACGTGAGCACGTGAAAAGAGTATTTAGTACTGTATAGAGAAACACAAGAGAAATAAGGTAAAAACTGACAACCGGAAATGTAGGAAAAAATGGGTGAAATCTTTTTGCGAATCTTCATAAACTTCCTGTTTTTCTTCCCCTTGAATTCAGAAGTAAGAAAAAGCAGAGCTATAACAAGATCATGTCACAATTCCTCCAAAGTTAAAGCCAATAGCACCTAAACATGTAGTTACTGATTTGCCTCATCACCTTCTGAAATCTTAAAAGGTTTCTCGTCCATTTCATTACACCTCTGAAGCATTTAAATGAAGTACAAGTTTATCCATCTTTTGATGGAACTACTTGAAATAAACCTGAATAGATTCTGAAATACTTAATACATATTAATGAAATTCATAGTAATTTTACAGTTGAGGTACAAATGCAAAGAAAGCTGGCCATCTTATTAGTGGTCTGCTAGTGGCCTGGGGTGCTGTTGTGCTGTGTCTCGCCTGGTGCCTCAGCTACCAGCTTGCTTTTATGGAATGTAAGGTGAGGTTATTACATAACATTAAAATACATACGATAACAAAATAACTTCCGTATAGATTGCAGTGTCGCTTTCTGTTATTAAGAGAAGGAAGACTTAAATCTGGAGCAGCTTGAACGGATGTGATTGTTGTTGTTCTGTAATACTTTTGTAATGTATTGAAGTACCGTTAATGTGTTACTGGGGGCTTATACAGCATCCTGTATCTGACTAAAAGAAATCTTGAAACATGCAGAGTTCCCTTAAAATTCTCCTTGTGACACTTCTCTGCTTTTAGTCAATGTGTATCACTGACGATACTTGCTCTAGATTGCAAATCCAAGTTGAAAAATTTTTACATGTAGTACTTTTACCTTCTTTTTTCGTGTCTTCTGTGCCAAATGCAACATAGAGCAAACTCATTTCAGGGCAGTTTGTCCTCTTTCTGTTATTCTGTTGTCATAATGGTGTGGAGTGTCAGAAAAGGCAAGTAAGGAAAACATCCTTTTTTATGCTTTGAGTAAGCAGTAGTGGGAAAGATGTAATAGAAAAACATACCACATTTTTACTTAGGTCTCTGAATATTGCACATTTTTAACTCAAAACAGTCTGCTCCTTTAGGAAGTTTCTCATTTCAGAGCATTAAAGCGTTAATAGTTTTAGCAAATAATTTTAGTGTATGATGCAGAAAAGTCTGGATTATTTACTAGTACTGGAATTTGCATTAACTGAATCAGGAGAGAATCAGTAATTGTGCACTGTGTGAAGATCCTATCTTTAATTTGGAAGACACTAATCGGATTTATAGTGAGGCGCTGTCCCTTAGGCCTGGCTTAGAATACCTGCGATAGATTTAATCTATTGGATCATTGATCATATTCTTCAGAAACATCAGTTGTACGAAGCTAGTAGATTTCAGAAGGTATATTTACATGTCTGTGTACATCCCTCCACTGCTCCTGACCATAGTGTTTAGGGAATTTCTTTTCAATGAAGGAGGCTTGGGAAGGACACAGAAAGTTACTGAAGTGTTAGATAGTAAATTCTGATACATTAGCTTAGATGGGGTGAGTTTGTAGAAAGGTGAACTCTGGCACTTATAATATATGACAACAGATTTCAAAAGGCAAATATCCATTTTACCACAGACAGTAACTTAATTGATGTTTTGAAGGAGATCAGGAGGTGTTTGCTAAACACTAAAAAGATATATTAGTAAGCCAGGTTCAGGGCCTAAGAAGGGTAAATGTCAGGACTGAATTTTACAACTTCTGAAGTTAGAAAGTACACTATTTAAAGCTACTTGTTGCTGTGACTAGCTAATCGATTATTTTTTTTTAGAAGAAACAATATACTTTATTATTTTAATAACTTGTTGTAGACTTATTTTCTGCTTTTTTGGCCAATGCCATTTTACATGTCTAAAGATTGCAGTTTTTTTTTTCTTCTGATAACTGTATACTATCAGAAAGCTTTTCTGAAATTAGACTTTCTTAATTTATCCTGTTCCCTGTATTGCATAAATAATAGAAATGCATGATAAGAACAGTTCTTGATGTTCTAACAGGTGTGAACATTTACAGAAAGAACTAGCAGTTAAGAGCATCGGTCGACTCTGTGAGATTTTGCAAGATGATTTCATTGGGTACTCAGCATCATCCTTGAAATAAGTTTTGGTCTTTGGAGCACAACTGTGTTCTGCCATTTGAAAATACTTTTAAAAAGCACAGCTTGGGCTAGGCATTGGAGTGGAGCAGCAAACAGATGATGGACTGACAGGATGCATAAATATGCAGTGTTGCTGTAGACTATTAACAGATATTGTCAGTATTGAACCTAAAAGCGTAAGCATTGATTTCCCCCCACATTCCTGTCGTTAATGCATATGCTGTATCTCCCTTCAGTATTTCTTTTTACCATCGCAGCTGTCTCGTCAGGAGGAAGTGTATCTTCTCTTGTAACTTTGTTACATTAGTCATATATTTTTAATTCTCCCAAAGGTAGGTAATTAAATGCCAGTTAGTTTCTATCATAAAAATGTCTGTCAACTTAACACGATTAAGGACTGCAGTGAGTTGATTGTACTGATCTGTATTTCTTTACTTTTTGCAGGGTTGAGGATGCTGATGCGTCTGAGAAAAGCGTAAATGAAGAAAATGGGGAAGTATCAGAGGCAGACCAACCTCAGAACAAGCACAGCCGACATAAAAAAAAGAAACACAAACATCGAAGTAAACACAAGAAACATAAACATTCTTCAGAAGAAGATAAGGACAAAAAACATAAACACAGACACAAACATAAGAAACATAAACGGAAAGAGGCAGCTGATGCCTCTGACAAGGAAGATGGACCAGCTAAAAGAACTAAAATTGATTTTTTAGCTCCTCTGGAAGACTTGGAAAAACAAAGAGCATTATTGAAAGCTGAACTTGAAAATGAATTAATGGAAGGAAAAGTCCAGTCTGGGATGGGATTAATATTACAAGGTTATGAGTCAGGATCTGAAGAAGAGGGGGAGATTAATGAAAAAGCGCGAAATGGAACGAGACCTGCAGCTAAGTCAAACACTAAGGGGAAATTAGAACCTGTGGACAATAAAACTAGTTCCAAGAAAGGAAGTAAGAGTGAATCAAAAGAAAGGACTAGGCACAGGTCTGACAAAAAGAAAGGCAAAGTAGGAGCTGATGGAATCAAAGAGAAGACAGCTAGAAGCAAGTCAAAAGAGAGGAGGAAATCCAAAAGCCCTTATAAGAGAAGTAAGTCTCAAGATCAAACAAGGAAATCCAGGTCTCCAATGCTTAAAAGGCGATCTCAGGAGAAAAACAGAAAGTCTAAGTCTCCCCCAGAGGATAGAAATAAGGCTGATGATAAAAGTAAATCAAGAGATCGCAGAAAGTCTCCAGTTGTAAATGAAAACAAAAGTCGAGATCGTGGCAGAAAATCTAAATCTCCAACAGAACTAAGAAGCAAATCCAAAGATAGAAGATCACGGTCCAAAGATAGAAAACCTAGGAGATCAGAGACTGACAAAGAAAAAAAGCCAATTAAATCTCCTTCTAAAGATGCTTCTTCAGGGAAAGAAAACAGGTCCCCTAGGCGACCTGGCCGTAGCCCAAAAGGAAGAAGCTTATCTCCCAAACAACGTGAAAAGTCAAGAAGAAGCAGATCCCCTCTCTTCAATGATCGTAGATCTAAACAGAGTAAATCCCCCTCTCGAACCCGGTCCCCGGTTAGAAGGATGAGGAGTCGGTCTGCAGAAAGGAAAAGACGAGAATCAGAAAGGAGGCGTCTTTCTTCTCCCAGGTAACTTAAAGATGTCATGAACCATCACAAAAATGCTTTACAGGATGAACTATCTTATTGTTTGGTGTTTATCTCTTTGTTTTATTCTGAAAATAGCTATTGAAAGAGGTAATTAGATTGTGCATTATATTATGAGCTTACTCTGTATGTATTCACATTTTAAAAAATACTCCCCCCAGCTGTCAGACATGCAAATTTAGCTTTAGTTGTTAAAGGGCTGAGTTATTTGCTGTTCACACCATTGCTGGGAACAAGTTTTGTAGCTCAGGTTCTCCTTTTTGTCACTTGGTTGGATTCGGAATTTGGCTTCTACTTTTCTTCTTAATTAATAGTTCTGTTGCTTTCAGGAACTTCTGTGGAGTGAGAGTCCCCTCTACTCTTACGTGTGTTGGCTAAAAGTGTGTAATTAACTCCTTTTACCTGCTCAAAAAAACCCCAAACCCTAATGATAGAGTCAGCATGTGTGAATGTAAGGAAATCTTTTATATTAAAATGGCCATCTCTCAGTCATTTTTTTTCTTTTTTTTTTTTTTTTTTTTTTTCATCTGCTAGAGGTATAGTGGAGTTGCTTCATTATTGGTCATTAGGTCATTACCATGTTTTGCATACACTTAAAGGAGAAAGGCTGAAATATTTTTAATGTATTTTTAGCCTTGGCATTTTTAAAAAAAGACAATTTAGTCTGTGAAGGCAGTTACCTTGAAATTTAACATAAATCATGAGACAATAATTACTAACATCTGCTTCTCTGAAGCTGATAAGGCCTGGATGGTAAGTTCACAAGCAGGGAATAATATACATTTTTGGGAGTTAATTCATTAAATAAAAGAGGTTCAAGAGGCAGGAGAGTTCAACATTACTTTTGGATAATGAATAATTTAAAACTTTTTATCATGGAGTTCAGCTTCACCCATTCCAAGAATTGAGAGCAAAGCAGTATGAATTAAAAGCTGCATATTGGAACCACAAAGATCTAGCTCAGTAGATAAGCGCCTAATAAGTGTGAAAGTCTTTCTGGCTGCATCACTGAATGTTGCTGTGGTTTTAAGTATGGGGTATCGTGTACAGGCGCATTATCGGCTTATTTGTCTGTCCTGCTGCTTAGCAGTACTGCAGGTACTTTGGGGGATGACTCCAGGGGTGTTATTAACTGGAGTAAGCAAGTATTGTAAGCGCTAGCAGTTTATCTGACGGCGCTCTGGTGCGTCACAAATGTATCCGTGCAACCACTACGTTTCTTTGACATAGTATTTGACTTTTCTTCCGTAGCATTTTGCACCTTTCAGTTTTCATTTCTCATGACAGCTTGCATTGCAGCCAGTTCGAATTAGTTGTCTAGACAGTCTTTCAAGTGATGAATGTGTCTAGAATTTTGCTATCGAATTCAGACTTCTCTAACACTGTGGTGTGCAGCATGTGAGTGGGGGACTCAGAATTTTTTTTTGCTGGAAGTGTTTGCAAATCAGCGGGGGTAATCTTTCATTGTGGGGCATCCTGAATTAACTCCAATTATGTTGGAGTTTTAACTGCCTATAGTTACTCAGGCTGCCAGAGAATTTCAGGAGCTTTAATGAACCGTTTTAAGAAAAAAAACCCATTACTTCTATTTTTCATGTTTGTTTCCAGTGTTCTAATCATGTAAGATAGTTCTCAGGTCTTTGACTGAAGCTACTTGTTATATGACATGACTGTGAATTCCCAATCAGCTTCTATCTTTTATCTCATACCTGTGATCCCTGAACTGGTTTAATTTTTTTACCATTACTTTGGCTGGGTTTTGGTAGTACAACCACTTTGTTAGCCAGGAAACCTGGAACTGTGAGTTCATCCTCTGTTTTTCTGTAATATTGTGCACAAGAACATAATGTAAATTAAATAGGTTACTGGGATCAGCCTGCTCCAGCACTCGAGTCTCCAGTAATTTCTTGTAGAAACCTTCAATACTTCTGCATGTGTGTAAATTTTCCCTCTGTCCCACTGTTTAGTATTTTGCATCAGTTTTGTACACCTGTTTGTTAAACGGTAGCAAAGGTAACTGAAGTTGATATAACAGTCTTAAAACAAAAAAACACCATCACAGAATGGGCAGAATTAATCTTTCAGGCCCAAGAGATTTTGATTGATGAGACATAACACCTGAAATAACTTGTCCAATTTGATTTAAAAAAAAAAAAAAAAAAAGGGCAAGGGTGGGGAGCAGGAAGAAATGAAGTAGCAACATTTCCTTTGAACAATGGTATGGAAATATTTTCCAAGAATTTCTGTTGCAGCGTCACTAGAATAGTTGTTAAATATTTTTAATTTGTATCCTTTCCAATTTTGTATTGAAGCCTTGCTGTCATGGAATACAATTAAGCTTTTTAATGTAGTTGTCCCATCAAGGATTTTGATTTTTTTTTTCTTGAATAATTGGGAATCTATAGACAAGAATGAGCAAATTTTAAATAATAGTGTCAAATTTGAATTATTTTTTTAATTTGAGAAGGGTTAGTTTACATGGTAACTAAGAATTTTCATTTTCAGCTGCTGTATTAGAATGTGTGAAATGTTGAAGCTGTTCAGTTCTGGTGCCCAAATTGAAATAGACATTAAAAGTCATTACTGTGGAGCAGTATGCTTCTAAATCTCAGTAGTGTGTTGTAAAGTTGCTGAGAAAATTCTCAAGAGGTAGTTCTGGGTTTTTATTTTCTGTTCAAATTCTGTTTCTGATAAACACGAAAGTAGGCCACTGTTTACCTAAGACTTAAACACAAGTTTTGCTTTAAACCTCTCCTAGCTTTGTTGTAGTAATTAAGAAGTTTTGTTCTGAGAGTTGTCCTGAACTAGGCCTGTGGATGGGCACACATTTCCCAGGGTGGGCAGGCACATACAAGAAGGGCAGCCAGCTCTGCTGGGTACTTATCCGTCCCTCCCTCAGAAGCCCATCTGGTGGTCCCTCACCTGCAGTAAGCTTTTAAAGTGAGCTTTCAGAGGGAATTGTGATTTTTGTTTTCAGCTTGCTCCTGATTTCACTGCCATTCTCTTCCTCTATTTTAAGAACGCGGACCAGAGATGATATTTTGTCCAGACGTGAAAGATCAAAAGACATTAGCCCACCCAGTAGATGGTCCCCATCCAGAAGAAGGTCTCGGTCCCCCATTAGAAGGAGATCTCGTTCTCCCCTACGACGTAGCCGATCTCCAAGAAGGCGGAGTAGATCTCCTCGAAGGAGGTAAAGACACACTGCATTTTAAAATGGATTTTGTAAAATATTACTAAAAGAATAAAGATTGCTATCTTATGTGTAAAAAGACGATGCATTTTTTATCCACGTTTATACATGCTAGCATAGTTGAATGAATTTTCTTCTCCATTAATTAATTTGTTTTATCACTTGAAGTCATTATGTACCTTTATGTGTTATGAATAGGTTTTCCTTCTTTTCTTGTAAAAACAAAACCAAACCAAACCCCCCAAATCCAAACTCCTCTTAATGTTACCAGGGATAGAGGCCGAAGAAGTAGATCTCGCCTTCGAAGGAGGTCCAGGTCACGTGGTGGCCATCGGCGTAGGAGCAGAAGCAAAGTTAAAGAAGACAAATTTAAAGGTAGTCTCTCCGAGGGTATGAAAGCTGAACAGGAGTCTTCCTCAGATGAAAAGTAAGAATTCATTTCTAACTTGTGCTGATTATCAAAAAATACAGATACGTTAAAGTGGAGTATGAACTAATATTTATCTTCATGGTGTAGTTTTCGGGTTGTCACTTAAAACCTTAATCATATTTTAGTACTTGTGATCTTGTCAAATTACTGTTGGGATGATCTGGAAAACTTTGGAGTATGCAAGAAATACCAAGTCCTGTTGGCAAGCAGGCAGACCTGAGGGGTTGGTATGTTTTGTTTCTAAATTCAACTTGATCAGTATCTTGTGAAAGTATTTGGTCTGTTTCCTCAAGCTTACTGCTCGAGGAAAAACTATAACAGTTGAAAGGATTAATTGCTATCTGCAAATTGGTTTTATATTTGCTCAAGATCTGCTTAATCCAATTGCACAAGGGTATGTGTTCTTAATCAAATTGTCGAGGAAGACTGATGCTGGAGTGAAAACGAACAAGGGGGTTTTGTTTTTTCCTCTTTAAAACCAGTTACTGTTAATTGTTTGCAGTTAAAAATGAAATGCTCAAAAGTCCCAATGAAATGACAAAAGATACATTTTATCTTTTAAGGAGATATGAATATACACCTTTGCTGTCTGAGGGAGTTGAACAGCTATTGCTTAATATATTGTGTGCTTTCTGTGTTAAAGAACTGCATTTGGTAAAATTCAGTAGGTGGTCTTATGTTTATGATGTTACATAAAAAGTAATTGTATTTTTATAGCCTTGAAGACTTTGATTTGGAAGAAGAGGATGAAGAAGCGGAGATAAGACAAAGGCGACTACAGCGACAAGCAATTGTTCAGGTACACAGTTATATTATGTGGGTTACAGAATTTTAGGCTTTTAGTGTAAAATGTGATAAAGGAAGGCTCTTAGCCTAATACTACATTATGTTAGTACTATATTTTTCCAATTAACTTACAGTAAATGCTAGTCTCCGTTAAACTTTACACTTCTATTGCAACAGCATTGCTTTTAAGACTGAAGCAGCTCTTCTGTGAGTCATTTTTGTGCTACAGTTAAGCCTTCTCTGACAGTCCTACGACGTGTTAAAAATGTTCTGCAATTCTCCTAATCTCTAGGTTTTCCTCGTAGCTGGATCATTGATATCATAATGTCAATATAGCATGAAGTTAGGTATCAACTAACCTAACTGGTCAGATTGTTTCAAGTAGAAATTGTCCTTGTCCGTTTCCAAAACATCATAAATCCACTGACATGGGTTTCCTCTTCATGAAAGTAGATAAAGTATTCAATTACACGTGTGAGTTTCCATGATTACCTTATTTTTTGTAAGAAAGTAACAGTAGTGATGGGTAATATGGAATTGATATCCCTGAAAGGAAGCTGTGGCCAAAGGGGATGTAATTCTTCAACACAAGTTGAGTGTCTTTTTTTTAAAGTTGGGATTTGACACACAAAACACAGTAAGCAAAATGCTGCAGCATTTTATTTACATATTATTTATTTACTCAAAATTTACTTAGAAAAACACCAGGTTTTATGTTGATTAAAATAAGCAGCACTAAAAATACTGTTCAGCGTTTGACTTCTATGCAAAGCCCAGTGTAAAATCTTCCATAACTACGACTGAGCAAAACCATAGAAAATAAATTATTTTTAACAATACCTGTTGTTTGTTTGTGCAGGAAGGAAGTTCCAAAGCTTCATTCCCTAAATGGGGGAACTCTGCTTCTATTATTGAACAGTTCAACCATGATAACTGAGTGGTATCAGCATTTATTCAGTTAAAAATTAAACTTTTGGGAAGTTTTTGGAAGTTTGGAAGTTTTTTTTTGAAGTGACATCTGTATAATTTCATACTATTTGAGTTAAAAAACATATAATTTGTGAAGGTGTTGTCTTGAACTTTCTTAATCCATCTGGAATTTTTCAACAAGAGTGAGTGAATAAACGGGATTTCCAATTCAAATTAGCAAACTGAATCTAAATCCTACTTTTATGTGCCATAACACTAATAAAAATGGAGAATATTATGGAATGTAAGATATAATAATATACTTTATTTTTCCTTAAGGATTTTATTTCACTACTTGTGTGCCAGAATGGTTTAGTAATAAATCTGTTTGTACTGACATTTTGTCACACACAGCAAAATAGTTAATCTTCAATAAAAAAAAGCTTTTTACAGAAATATAAAAACCTAAAGGACACACATGAATTTTTCAGCTGTCTTTTATGATCTGGGCTGTGGTGCATTGAAGCAAAACGAGTTTTCCAAAACGGTGTTCTGCAAATAATCTGTTGCCATTAGAGATGGAGCTGATTCTGGAAAGCAAAGATTAGAGTTTAGCACAAACCATGAAAGACTGAGTATAAAAATGTTTACATTGTAATAGGCTGTGACAGTGAGATTAACAATAAAATTTCTTTTTAGAAATACAAAGGCCAGACGGAAGACAGTAATATCTCTGTACCATCTGAACCCAGCAGTCCTCAAAGTAGTACACGTAGTCGCTCGAATTCTCCAGATGACATCTTGGAAAGAGTAGCTGCTGATGTTAAGGAGTACGAACGGGAGAATGTGGACACGTTTGAGGCATCAGTTAAAGCCAAGCACAACCTCATGACGGTTGAACAGAACAATGGTAAGAATCAGAAATCTCTCTGGATAGTGCAATTTATGAAAGCTCAGCTGTTAAGCTGAGCACTTCAGAAGAGACTTTTGCTTAGTTTCCTTATGTACTTCCAGACTTGGAAGTAGGCTGACTTTTTGAAGAGAACTTCAGAAAGTTTCCATGAGTATTATGGTACTTAAAAACATAACATTAAAATAAAGCTTGCTCGTTAAGAGGGATGATATGAATGGAACATGCTCTTTATATTTCTAATAGCTCTTAAGACAATTCATGCTATAAATTTGGAAGAGCAAGTAATGATGACTGTCTTCATAATTAAGAATCAGCTGTTTTAACTTCCAAACTTTTCTTTTCACTCATGCATGTTGTTTTCTTAGAAGGTTAATAAAGTCCTAGTCTTTATTTTGGTGTGGTTTGTAAACCATGCCCTTTTTGTCCCTTTTTTCATCAAAGCCATGGTGTTAGAAGAGTATAGGTGGGTCTGTAGTAATGTAGAATGATTAAGGCTTTTGAGAGTTACTGCTAGTAAGTCCATCTTGGTAGCATAGCCATTTCTTCAGCAAGAAGTTATTTCCTCCTCTTCTTCCGTGCACACAGCCTGTTGTACAACACCACTGAGATGAAATACATGTTGCTATAAAACCTGCCTTGTGCCTGCTGCGGCAAAAGGAACGTAGAGCATCTCCCAGTGCACCCTGTAATATTGAAAATCTGCCCTTTCCTTTTTTTTTCTTTTGTGTCTTTTGAAAGTGGATTACTGTACATCTTCCAAGCAGTGAAAGGGTGTGTCTGGTTGCTGGGTGGACATACTTGAACTAGTTTTAACTACTATGGTTTCTCTTTAGTTTAATTGCAACAGGGCACTGTTTAACAAGGGCTGTGAAACCTTCCCAGCCCCTCAGGAAATGGTTGGACAGTTGGCTTGTATTTCCTGTCATGCCCTACATGTATCCTTAGGGGCTAAATACGCTGTGTTCTAGTGAATGCTTCTCTTTGAAGTAATAAAGCTGCATCTCTTTGGGACTGGTGTACTGCTCAGCAGTTTGTTCTGGTGTTCCCTTGAGCAATGTGTTTTCAGATAGTTCTTTCCATCTACATTGCAGGAGAACAATCTCATGCACTTTTCCTTATTTGCATACCACAAGCTTACACTTAGTCGTCTGAAGTGTAACAGACAGTATCTTTCCCCTTTTATTGTTAGAGGACAAAATTAGAAAGCGGTACATGCCTCTAAAGTATATGAAAATGTAACTGTTAACTGCATAGACATTTATAAGATATGAAGAAAGTTTGTTTTTAGAAACAGATCAGTTACACTCAAACCTGGGAGTCTTCGTGTGTTGGTAGGATTCTGAGTTGGAGTTTGCGATAACAACAGATGGAAGCAGTGAATCATCTTTTTTCCTAAGAGCCATTTTTTATTTTTATCCTGACCTCATTGAGGCAGGATAGTGAGTTGCAAAGGAACTAGTTAATAACTCTTTGTAGCCCAGTGCAAGTGTGAGTAGCTGAAACTAAAAAGAAAATTTGAGGAAGTCGATGGAAGGGTCTATGTCATGAACCAGTGGTATAACTTGTCTCCCCATAGTGTCAGTGTCTGTACCTGGAAACAACGGTGTCAGCATGATGGATGAGAGTTTTTGATGCTGTCAAAAGATTTCAGGCTAGTTATTTTATGTGAAAGTGGTTGGCTCTGTGCATCGTGAGACCTGAAGAATCTGAAGTTAACAGGTTATTCTTCTCCGTTGCTTAATGCCTTAAAGGGAGATTTAGTGTGGGTGTTAAAGGATGCCTCTGTAATGCGTGTTATGAAATAGTTTGAAGTTTACTTACTTTCACTAACATGTACTTAATTTATATTTCTTTGCTCTTATTAACCAAGTAAAATGTCCTTGGGACTTTAAAGATGATTAAAAGGTGAGAAAGGGATAATCTTGCCCGCGTTAAAAACTGTTTCTCTTAAACATAATAGTTAACATTGTCTTTGACTAAAATCTGCACACAAGATCCTTTTTGACAGGGCCAAAGAAAGCATTTCCCAAAGAAACAACTTCTGGGCTTTACAACTTGGGTTTTTATAGAATACCTTGTGATTAGCAAAAAAGCCAGAACTTGTATATTGACAACTTATCTGTTTTTTATATGTACACACAGTCATTTTATATTTCTTTCTATACATATGTATAGAGTCATCTGTAGGGATCTTGTCAGTATGTACTTTTTGCTTTCTGCTGTGTGAATTACTTGAAAGCTATTAGACTTAATTTTTCAAGAAGGTGTAAAGTTTTGAGTGCTTTGAAGAACTTACCCAATCTGAGTTTTGTGTTTCTAGAATGTAAAATGGTATTTGCTAAAACATTAGTAGAGCTACCTGGTTACAAAAATCTTGATCTGAGATTATATTGTAAAGATCTCTAGTCACGAATTGTACTGGTAACAGTGTGACTCGTTTGTTGTCTTTTTCATGTTGAGTAATCTCAATTTCATTTTAAGGTTCATCTCAGAAGAAGCTGCTAGCTCCTGATATGTTCACAGAATCGGATGATATGTTCGCTGCATACTTTGATGTAGGTAATTCTTGGAGATTAAATGTATGATTTTTTTTTTTCTTTCTTTCTTTTGTTAGACACTTACTGTCACTTGAGGTTTGTGGGAACTTTGGTTTGTAAAAGCATGTGTAACTGGGTGGGTAGTATGTTCTGAATCTTTTCATCAGTCAAGGTGGACAAAGTAGGCCTTAATTAATATTTCAGTGAAAGGAAATCTGCTGAAATCGGTGGAAGTTTTACCAGAACAAGCCACTAGGAAATTCACCTGTTGTTTGAATAGGTCCTATAATGGCACACAGTAACAAAATTATAAATAAGTTAGGCTTTAGGCTAATGTTACCATGGTGCACTGTTTTAAATATGTGCCTTTTTTTCAGAGGTTTATTTATGGTTAATTAAAAAGTGTCTGTGTGATATATTTTAATTTGCTCATGATGCTGGGTTGGAGTAATGTAGTGGTTGGTTTGGTGAGGGTGGATTTTTTGGATTAAGAGATGCATTTCCTGCTTTTACTTTTGCACTATCGCAGCAGCTTTTCTCTAATTGTGCTGAAATAGCCTGCAAATCTTGGCGGTCCGGTGACTAGTTTTGAGACTTCACTTGCTGTTCTCTGTAAATCTACCTTGTTGGTGCTGATGCACAACACTGAGAAATAAGTTCAGACAATTTTCTTCTTAACTTAGAAATTCTCTGCTTAATTTTGATTTATAGCATGCATAGTCTATTAGTTATGACACAAGCATTGGTGACAAAGAGCTGCCAAGGTGTCACTCTAGTAACACTAGTAATATTAATAAAAAAAAAAATCAAAACCCCTTTGACCTGGAAAAGAGTAAGTACTTGAAGGATAGTGTGTGGGGGGGTGCTTTTATAAATTTGAAAGTTACAAAGAGTTAAAGGGCTCCTAAGTGAGCAGTTCCCCCTTCCAGAAACTATTGTTCAATTGGAGATATTCTTTACTACTCATGGATTTGAATTTGTGGTAATACATTACCCAATCTGTTAAGGGATGTCAACAGCTATTATAGTAATTTTATGATTGTAAGAATAATATTATGAAATCTGTGAAGTGACATTGAATGAACAGAAATTCAAGGCTTAAACAATTACATTTTCCTCATGAATTGCTAAACTTCATTGCTACAAACGTACTATAAAAAGACTTATTCAGGTGGTTCAAAATGTGTATTCTGACACGATTCATATAAATTTCTTGTGGATATTAGTTGAAACTTTGCCCATTTGTGTTTAACAGTAGTTCTGTTGGTTGTTCCCATCCTCTTTCCTTGCATCAGTCTTGAGATACTGGTATGTAAATAGCATTTTGTGTTCAGTACTTTCTCTCTCCTACAAGGTAAGTGTCTTTGTACTGTGGAGAGGAACAGTTTTTTGGTAGGAAAAAAAGGCTTTTGATAAGTAAACATCAGGGAAAACCAACCAGAGCACACAAGCAAAGCTGTTACTTTTCTTTTTATTTCAGAGTGCTCGTCTAAGGGCTGCTGGGTTTGGAAAAGACTTCAAAGAAAACCCCAATCTCAGGGATAACTGGACTGATGCAGAAGGCTATTACCGTAAGTTGTATTCATTGATTTGCAAGAACAGCAGGAATGGGGGTGCGCGACGGAAAAGATCCTCGTGCAAGAAGTACCAAAATGTTATTTTAATGTAAATGTACTGCAGTGCCCTCACTGAGAGTGTAATGTAATGGATGAAATGAGCATGCAGGTTTTAACCTCATAACCTCAGTTATGAAAAGACTGCAGAAGCCCAGAATTGGTTTGTTCCCTGTAATTTCCACAAAGCTAGGCAATACAAAACGTTGTACGCTATTATACCCTTTATCACTTTTTCTGAATTATACAGAATGGTAAATTGTTCATAAAATGTTTCATTATGTATGTCCCTCATAACTCTTTAAATTGCTTGATTTTTATCCTTCAGGTGTTAATATAGGTGAAGTTCTAGATAAACGGTACAATGTCTATGGTTACACTGGTCAGGGAGTCTTCAGTAACGTAGTGCGAGCCAGGGACATGGCAAGAGCCAACCAGGAAGTAGCGGTTAAAATCATCAGGAACAATGAACTTATGTAAGTAATGGTCTTCTTTAATAATAATAATAATAATAAAGCGTAGGTAACAGTTGGAAGTTTTTCATGATGTGATTTGAATCTCCCTTTGTTTCAAGTGAAGTAACAGATTACAGCTGTGATTCCTGCCTTTTCTGCTAATATGAGCCAGATAATGGGAAGCGCTTGAGGACTATGTATCTGCACTTCTTTACAGCTATCACAGGAGAAGGGTACTTGCATTTTCATCAGGCACTTTTTGATTTGAAAAATTGCAGGGAACAGTGGTAGCATGAAACAAGGTTACAGTTCATTATGAGGCCTGCCCAGCCCTGAAATTTCTGAGATGAGTCATGGACTGTAAAGAATTTTGTTTCAATGGGCCAAATTGATTGGTCAGGGTGTGGGTTGGATCCTAACTGACCATGTACAACTTACAAAAAGATGTCTGTACAGTAATTATTTTTGTGTATTCTCTATATTTTTGCATGTATATAAGAAAGGGATGGGGCTCTTATTCTTGAAATGAAGAAAAAAAAGTTTTAAGTCTTTCAGAATGAGTAAACACTGGCAAGTATGATCTACTAAACTATGTTATGTTATGTGAGGACTTGTCCATAATACACATTTTTAGTACCTGATGTAATATTTCTACAGTCATATATTATGTCCTTTTCCATTAAAGGCAACTTAAATGAAAATCTTTTCCATGTATTTTACCTTGGAAGTTATAAAAGTTGCCTTGCTGTGTGTATAACTGGATTATTTTCAGTTATGTGAATAGGTATCCAGAAAAGCCTAAAAAGAGAGGGGGGTGATAAGCTATTTCAGTTTATGTTGTATAGATAATCAGTTTGGGTGTGTACTCGACTCTATAGTCTGTTTAGCTTAAAACTTTTTTAATAACATACATGGTTAAGTACTTTTTTTTTTAATTTCTCAAGTGAGTGCTGTTTGAAGCTGAAGTGTCGTGTTGCAGGAGGAAATCTAATTTTAGCTTTACATGCAACCAGGAGGAAGACAGAAAGGATAAGTGTGTTACAAAGACACAGTGAGGATTAAACAATTAAATAAACTTGCCCAATGTGTAGACACTGACAGCAAACCACTGCTGTGATTTGATTTTTTTTTTTTTTTAAGCAGTGGTACCTTAAGTAATGACAGGACCGTTCTCATTTCCTGATAATTATAACCATGCAAGTGAATGACTAGATTTAAAAAAGGTATTAGTGTGTCACTGATTTTGTTTTCTAATCATATATTTTTGTTTTCAGGCAAAAAACTGGCCTCAAAGAACTGGAATTTTTGAAGAAGCTCAATGATGCAGATCCCGATGACAAGTTTCATTGTCTACGATTGTTCAGGCATTTCTACCACAAACAACATCTCTGTCTGGTATTTGAGCCACTCAGGTAAGATGACAAATGTTTGGGGTTCCCTGTAAAAATTAAAGTACTCCAGAGGGATCTCTACCTTTCTGTTCTTGGCTGTTGTTTTGATACCTTGTTCTATTGCCAAGACTCAAGAATGCAAGGAGCTTTTCTAAAAACAAAATGAATGTTGATTTTCATGTGTTTTGGGTTTTTTTGGTGTGGTTTAACAAAATAACATATTGTTAAATACGGATCATCTTACCAGTGCTGCTTGTAATTATGGTTTTTTGTGTGTGTGTGACAAGACTTTTATTAGTTTTCATAATTCTTTGTTTTGGATTAAGAATGCATTCCCAGAGAAGTTCAGCAAGTGCTGTATATTCTGTGAAGAGTGTATATATAACAACAGTCTAAGGGAAAAAAAAAAATTGTAACTACTTAGCACACTTTTTCCTTTAATTAAGCTTTTTGACAGGTTAATTGTAAATAATGTTTTATGACAGATATGGATATATTGATTGCCTTAGTTCCCATTCCTGCTTAGAGACGTCACCTGTTTTGTACCCTAAGTTTTCTGTGTATGTCATATTTTCATTTTTGCCATATTTGAGGTAAAGATAAGCTATATGCTGAAGCGAAGAAAATTTTATGAAATCACTTTTATATTTTCATTAATAATCCATACAACAAATGATTTTCTTGTGTTGCACTATCTCTTTATAGCATGTTTGTATGTTATTTATGTGATGTTTTTGTCCTGACGTTGTGGTCTTTTTATGTGCTGTTTGTTTAAGACATGCAAAAATTGCTTCCTCAGCACCTCATCTTTTGCATACTTCCTCTTTTATTTATTTCTGGAGAAAAATGATTATGTTAAGAAAATGCTGTTCATGTGCAAATAAATCCTCTGATTAATCTTGATTAAAAATATGTTCTGAACTAAGTATGTCCAGTCTAGTTAGTACTTCTACAGTGTATAGGGATAGATCTGATTGACCCACATTTGTTTCATGCTGTAGCTAACAGAGTGCTATGTATTTCAAGTTGAATGTTGCTTTCCTCCAAAAATATCTAAAGCTAACTGGTTTCTTCAAGTTTGTCCTACGCTTTAGGAGGCTGCTATTTTTTCACTTGTTAAGCTCTTTTCTATTCTTTCTCTCCCCGTTTCTTTCTTAAAATAGTATGAACTTACGAGAGGTGTTGAAAAAGTACGGGAAAGATGTTGGCCTCCATATTAAAGCTGTGCGTTCCTACAGCCAGCAGCTGTTCCTGGCTTTAAAGCTTCTTAAAAGATGCAATATCCTACATGCAGATATTAAACCAGATAATATTTTGGTAAGTAATAAATAATCGAATCTTATTTTTCATGGTCTATCATGTAAAATTAAGTATCTGAAATTAATATAATTCTGTTAATTTAGGTGAAGTTAGAATTTACCTGAAAATGTTAAGTGTTCATGTTATGAATGGTTTGATGTAAAATGCTATTGTGGTGTAAATAGTATGTAACAAACATTCTCGTTAGGACAGCATGAGAGCTCCATCAGAGGAATCAAACACGTTTCCTTTGCTTTTCTTTGTGGTCATCCCTGTGAAGAAGTCAGATTTTTACTTTATTTAAAATATTTGGGTTTTGGAATCAGGGGGAATGAAATCTCTGTAAGGATGAGATGTGAGTAATATGCTGCTTTATGAGTGGTACTCTGGATACTAGAGCTGGAAGTCTAAACTGATACAATTTCAATATCTGGAAAGAAATCCAGACCTACCAAGTGTATTTTAGTAAGGGAAAAGTACATGAAACTGACCTTTTTTGTATTTCCCAGGATCTGGAGACATTAACTGTCACTTTCAATTTAAGAAGGTTGTGCGGTTTCCTTAGAATACAGAGAGGAAGGATTGAAATATGGGGAGAACTTCCAGTTTAAAGGCCGAATGTTTTTCTTATGTCTCACTTAAATCTATTGTTACTTGCACAGTGCTATTGGAAATTCTCTTTACAAACAGGGCTAATGGATATTTCTGTTCAACTTTCAGGTGAATGAATCTAAAACGATATTAAAGCTTTGCGATTTTGGATCAGCTTCGCATGTTGCAGATAATGATATCACACCGTATCTAGTTAGTAGATTTTACCGAGCTCCAGAAATTAGTAAGTACATTTGGATTGGCTACGTCTGTCCTAAGCAGTAGCAGGATACACAAGTACTAGCAAATGAGAATTTGACTTGAATTTACTCTCTGGAAATATGATGGCAGTCAAAAATACGGACTTTGAAAGCGTGCTTGTGTGACTCTTCATGTATGTTGGTGTTCAGCTCAGTGAGGACAGGGAGAAGTCATTCTGACTGGTTATAGTTATGTTTTAATTTAAAGTTACTGTTCTGGCCTTGGTTTTTGCTGACTTAATTCATGCTGGGCATTAGGTAAAAGCCTCCCTATTGAAAATATTTTTTTTTTATGGTGACTTCTTATTCCGAAGATGAGGAGCACCAGTATAGTTTACAAATCAGAATTTTTTCATCTGTCTGATTGTATGATATTATATCTTTTAAGGCTGCCTTTATGGAATTAACTGGAATTGCTCTGTTTCAGTTATAGGAAAAATCTATGACTATGGTATAGATATGTGGTCTGTAGGCTGCACATTATATGAACTTTATACAGGAAAAATACTCTTTCCTGGCAAAACCAATAACCATATGTTGAAACTAGCCATGGATCTCAAAGGAAAGATGCCAAACAAGGTAAGAAAAAAAAGTACCTGATTTTTAATTACTATCTGAAACTGTTGTGATGAACAGTAGAACATGCTTTCTTTTTTTCTCCCTGAATTCTTTTTCTTATCATGTACATCTTCTCTTAACAGCAAGTAAATATCAGACATCACTCTGACAGTATAATTAATATTGATTTAAAATCTTATGAAGTGAAAGTATACAGCTTCTTTTTCATAGACTAAGTATAAAGTGAAAGCAGAAACCTTCTAAGCACTGACCTGAAAAAAAAATACGTAAGTCATTGAAAGATACCGTGTCCTTTTTCAGCTGGTTTTGAACAGTGGTGGGTTTTTTTTTTTCATTTAGTCTACACATTTCTTACTGTCTTTTTGATATATTTTTGATTAGTATTAAAATATTCATGTTGCAATAAGTTAGTAGACATTGATGCTAATTGTGGAATTTGTAAGACATGAAGAACTTTGCTGAAACTCTTGCCTCTCCCTTGTTTTCCAGATGATTCGAAAAGGTGTATTCAAAGATCAGCACTTTGATCAAAATCTCAACTTTATGTATATAGAAGTAGATAAAGTGACAGAAAGGGTAAGTCCTCAACGTGTCGACTAACCTATTACTTTGTTCCAAGCTTTCCTACTATTGTGGTATTCCAAACGTGTCTTGACATCTTCATTAAAAATAAGATTTTTATAAACTATTAGACTGCTGTTTTGCAGCAGTAAGGACAGGATACGTAGTTATAAACTGGCAACAGATTTTTTTCCTACAATTTAGGAATGTGTGTAAGAGAAATCTGAGTTTAATTTTGGTAGATATACAGGGGTATCTCCATGTAATGCATTGATAATTACTAATAAGAGAAATTCTGTCTTCGTTTTAGAGTAGTATGTCTAACTTCAGGATGATGTGCTGATGTTGTAGGTCACTAATACTTTCTGTATCAGTTTAACATAGTACATTTCTTAAGAATCACAGAATTACTGGTCAATTCCACTTTCCACGTGGAATTGTGCCGTTCTCAGTTAACTGGGATGTTAGGTACACGGGTACACCTGCTGTTGGCAAAAGATGCAGCCTGGCCTCCCCCTGGCAGCGTTATTTCCACTCTGCCCACATGATGCCAAAGGGCATCACTGGTCAGATACCAGAAAGCCCTGCAGAAAAGTTGCTGCTGAAGCTTTGTAAAAAGGATAGGGGGTTCCTGCCTTACTTCTGTTCTACAAGGTTGCCCTTTTTGTATTTGTAGGAGAAAGTTACTGTAATGAGCACCATTAATCCAACCAAGGACCTATTAGCAGACTTGATTGGGTGCCAACGACTCCCTGAAGACCAGCGTAAAAAAGTACACCAGCTAAAGGACTTGTTGGACCAGATCCTAATGTTAGACCCAGCTAAACGGATTAGCATCAACCAGGCTCTGCAGCACGCCTTCATCCAGGAAAAAATTTAAACCAGATGAAGAAGTTCAAAGGGTTTGAGTAATTAAGATACAAAGACTGAAGAAATTTCACAGCAGTTATTAATGTATATAAACATAAATATTTCCCCTGCAAAGTTGAGGAAGAAATGATACATTTGAATTAACATCGAGGCTGATATTTCTTTTAGAAATGTTAGAGTAATTCTGTTTCGTGTCTTATGTGAAAATTTTCACTGTAGAACTGTTTTAATTGCCAAGACTGCACAGAAGTACAATGCTAATGTATATGGTTGCAGTTCGTATATATTATAAAAAGAAAAAAAGCATCTGTTATAAAAAAAAAAGAAAGAAACAAAAAAAAAGAGCAGTAATACTGGGTGGTTGATTTGTTTTTAGCAGACTTGGCTTCATTTTTGTCTTTAAGAAATGGCCAGCATAAATGCTGTTTATATTCACGTTTTCCTAGGTGTGTGTGTGCAGGCCACAGCAGCATGCCCTTGGTGTAGTCAGTGCCGAAGGGGGTCTGTTCCTTCTTGAGCCTGCCCGCAGGGATGGTCTCCTCTTTTAAAGCAGGTTGTGTACAACTTTCAGTACACTGAAGGTAAGCTAACCCATCAACATCACCGGTGTTTAAGCTGTTATTTTACTGCAACGACTGACAAATGAGAGACAATAGCGTTGTGGCAGAAGTCCCTGCATGTTTGAGAAATGACCTTGTTTTATTTTCTGGCATTGCAACCGTGGCATAGTTACAACTTCTGTTCTGTTCATCACATTTAAAATTTCCAGAGTGCGCACTTGATGGATAGAGCGCCTTCAGTGTACTGTTTCTTATTACTTTAATTTTTTTAATCAACTTGCTATAGACTTTGTATACATTTTGTTAAATACAGTTCACTATGACATAGAAACCAATACTTACAGAAGAGTTTTCATTTAGTAATTACATATGTTGGGATCTCATTCGAAAGACCTTATATCTAAAGGATAGCTAGACAACATAATGAAATTTTTAACTATTTGTATGTCATTTTGAAAGTGTACTGCTTTATGCTAAAAGTGTTTCATTTGTTCATTGTTTTCATTATTTGTGATCATGTTGTCTTTCAATACAGGCATAAACCTTCCACTCTTGAACAAAGCAGCTGCTTTTTAAAAGCGGTAATTGCTTCTTTACCTTTTATTTCTTTTGTAAATGAAGCTTTTCTTTAAGAAATGTGACTTTAAAGTGTTGTCTCTTGCATAAAACAGTTGACACTTACTTATTGTAAAGTGAAGATTGTTCTGCTGCATGTAAAGTGGACCATGCAGATTTCTGTATGTTTTCAGTATGCATCATTAGATAATAAAGTCTTTTGTGAACAAGGCATTTGTAGCCATTTTTAAAAGAATCTGTCTTCAGTGATGGTAAATCAGGTAATTCGTAAGAACATCCCCTGCATTTCCTATTAATCATTTAATTAAAGGCATTATTAAATGTTATGATCTTTGGGAGAGTAATAGGCTATGTTAATTAGATATATAATTATCACTACTTAAACAAAAACAAAGCAAAAAAAAAAAACCCTACAGATAGTGTCTGTCTGCTTTCATTGTAATGAAATTATTCCTGTAGGACATGGGATTAAATTCAGGCTTTAACTAATGTTTGTGCTGTTTTTCTCACTTTTCCTTTTGATGGTGCTGAAAGAGAAAAAGGAAAGCGAGTCACAGGCCACTCAACGCCTACTCCATGGGTCTGATTTGCTGAGACACCAACTTCACCTTCCTAACAAGGTTATTTCTGACAGCATGTGTAGATAAACATTTAGCAACGAGTTAGAACAGCTTGAAACATTTGAGTTGGTTGTGCAGCGCGAGGAAACCAGAATCAAACTTTGCAGGTCCATACCGCTGTTGTAATGTTCTCTCTGACAATATTAAGAAATTCATCTTTTCATTTGTATTAATATATTCTGAAAAGCTGTGAAACCCCTACTGGTTTCACCTACTCTATAATACTTCTTTGAACTAAGAAGGGTTTTTGTATCCATCTAGGTGCATAATGGCAACAATCATGCACTCTCAGTGCACTCAAGAATGGAAAAATGTCCCAAAGCAGTCATTCTGCTGGTGGGGAATACCCCACCCAGGAGATGTAATGAACTAACTACGAAAAACAAGCAGGAGATGGGTGGTTTTGTATGCCTATTTGGAACCTTCAACCTGTCTCTTCTCAATTTATTTTGTAAAATTCTTAATAAAGAATAATCTCTCCTTCTTTCCACATATTAAGGTATCTTGTTCGTACAGGAAATAAATATATTTTAAAAGTAGCTTTCACGTTTGATGAAATACTAGTTGCTTGTTAATTAGATACAGAAAGTAACTTGCACTTTTACAACATAAGCAGCACTTCTGAGGGCAGTTTTACACAGATGTAGTAATAGCTTTATTCTATCTGTTGCTTTGTAGTTATTCTTAAAATAGGAATATTAAACAATGAAATAAGTTGGTGATACAGAAACAAAGCAGTAGAAAAGATGCCCCTTAATGCCTACAGAACTGTTTTAAGCTATTCTGGAGAAGCATAAAGTTGCTCGTTTACTTGTTCTTTGTGTTGTAGGTGCAGCTCAAAAGAAGATGATGGCTACCAGAAGAACATGAACAAAGGTTTCTGTCTTATAAAAGATATGAAAAATACTCTTCGTGTAGTTCTGTCTTAATCTTTTGGTTTCCAGCATTCCAATTTAGAATTTATTAGCTCTGCTGCAGTACTGATAATTCCTGAAAAATACTTACTGTATCAGAATTTGTTGCATTGATGTGTTTGCTTCGTTTCTGGTTGAAGAGATTTTTTTTTTTAAATTGTGATTAAATGATTAAATGTAGGTAAATAAGCATTACTGTTTAAATGCAATTATCTTAAAATGATAGAATGATCAGTACAAAACATACGAAATTGAGGAAAAAATGCCATTATATTTGATTAAAATACATGTGTTTTAACTAATAAATATTTTAGCAGATGATGCACTCTTTTCTTTAACTTCAGCATGTTTGTTATTTTAATTCTGTCAAACTTTATTGTTGATACAGAGATTAGCTGACAGGGATTATTCCAAACAAGTGGATTTCAGTCCTCCATCCACTGTCAGCGTCAGTTGGTACTTGTTGTTGGCAAGAGTAGAAAATCTTTTAGTGCTGGCTTCCAAAGCCTGTGGAATTTAGGTCTTTTTGACAGTGTTAAGGAACCTCTCCAGTTGTAGGCACCGGCTGTCCCATGGGCCTGTGGTCTCTGAGGAGAGCAGAGCAGCTGCCGGTGCCGCTGCAGTCAGCTCTATTCCTTGGCTGCAGCTTCTGGCAAAAACAGAACAGCTGGGCAACAAGAGTTTTCTTGTGGAACTATTTGTCAGCTGATCTAAGAGATTACACGATGATGTAATTTCTATCTTCATCCGAGGTCCTACTTAAAGGAAGTTTGGCTAAATTTACTGTGCTGATTCCTGTTTCCTTCTCCCTCGTGGTGACAAGGAGCTTCCCATTTGACATACTTAGTTTGCCAAGCGTTCATCAAAAACAAAATACCAGCCCTATGCAGTTAGAGTGTGTTATTACCTTGGTGTATACTACTCTTTAAAAATTAAGAACTGTTTAAGAGCTTTTGATAGAATATGATGATTCCTTTAAAACCTTTTTAATAATACTTTATCTCCGTACATAGGGTAAGTGGCATTAAACTTCCGAAGAACCTTTATGTGCTTATTGACCCATGCCCAGGAGGCACACCGGGCTGTGACACCACTGGAGACAGAGCCATCTTCTGCAGTATGTCTAAAGCTGTAACTCGGGTGGAGGATGTTGGGCAGCAGCAGTTGCAATCAATAAAGTACGCTTAAAACTTACTTTGCCTCCTGTCTTCTATTGTATGGCATTTATATTGCTTACAAATGCCATAACGCAAAGCTGCTAAATATATGAGCAATTTTTAAATACACTAAAAGCAAAATACAGTTATTTGAATGGGGTTAGGTATTAGGTATTAAAGAATCTGTGGAAAAAGTCTTCTTGAATATGTGTAAAAACGGAGCTGTTGTCTTTTGTTAAGTTGCCCCTCCTGGTTCTGGAAGCCCTGTGAGTGCCAAAGAATTCATGTGGATTTTGCTTTGATTTTCCTTTGTCTTTTTTTTTTTTTTAAAAATGTTTTATAGGGAGGTAGTACCCTGTGTGAGTTAGGGGATGAAAGAATTACATTGTGTTACAGTGAAGGGAAGCCAGATCTATTTATAGATTAATCTTTATAAGAAAAAAAACAGGCTAGTCAAATGGGAGAACAAGCATGGTGAAAAGGGGAGGCAGTGTGTATCTTCATTTCTTAACTTGTGAATTATACTTAGATTCATAATTTGATACATATTTGTTGTACTCATTTTGTGGGTACAGAAGCAAAACTATCATAAGACTTCTAGTCTTCCGTGTCTTAGTTTTGTTGAGCTAAATACTCATATAATTAAAAGTTGTGACAAATAATTACTTTCTCTGAATTGAAAACTTGGCCCTTCCTTCCAAGATACACCTTTTGAATGCTTCATCTTCTCAATTATCTCCTCATAAACACAAATCTTGATGATTGGAGCCCAGATCTTTCTATAGAGATTATAATTATTCCTAAAGTAGTGAAAACACATGAAGGATATTTGCAAAGATTCAGTGTTCGGTATAAGTTAATGAGATGTAACATAAAGCTACTTCTAGGCAGGTAGAAACGAAGAGATCCTACCCAGAAAATAGATACTGACACAGCCACTGTCTGCTTTACCTGCTCATGGCTCAGTCTCAAAAGCATGGCTTTTCCTGCAAAAAGAAACTAGGAGGGAGTAACTGAGGACAACTACAGTACCTCCTATTGAAAGAATGGGACTAACAGTTGCTACTGAGAAAGCAAGTCACGAGTCCTGCCAGCAAACCTGCTCCAGCATGGGCTCCTCTCTCCCCAGTACGTACCCCTCGATACATTATTTTTATGCTGTGCCATGCAATGAGTGAGGTTTTGGTTCTAAAGCAATAAAAATGTTTACATCTTACCCTTTCATAAGTCACATACCTCACTGTTACCATAATTCTTGCCCAATTTATTCTAATTGATTCAATTAGAATAAATAGGAGAATATTCTTGCTACGGTTTATTGAATTCAAGCTGAGCTCTAGCAAGGAGTGGTGCTGAACGCGCTGTGAGAAGCAGCAGCACGACTAATAGTCATGATTTCTGGCAAAAACAAGTTTCTTCTGCAAATACCCTTGACAGTGGTTTTGAGCTGTCACACTCACCAACCTGGGAATTTGTCTGTGTTCTTTCTGCTCCTAAACCTTGTTCCCGACTGAGGAAGCTGAACTTCACATGCTACAGATAAAAAGAGCTTTACCTTGTCTAAATACACCTAAAGTTCAGACGTTCTACAAATCTGTCTCTTACGTTAAAATAAAAGCTCATTCTAGAAACATCCAGATGAGAGATTCCATTCAGAACAGCCCTACATTTGGGCTCCAGTCTTTCCATGGGAAAGAACCACGTTCTGCTCAACTGAAGCCGAGCTGACCTTCATGCTGTGCATCCTTGTGTATCTAGGAGACACCTGGAAAGGTAACACACAGCATTCCATACATGTTTCTTACAAAATTTAGTCTGGATTTAACATCCAGAGAGATGAAGCTGGCTGGTTGGAGCCGATGAAGGCACCTTTCCCTTCAGCCTCTTGAATGATGATGTCTCATCGTGGCCAAACACGAGGACTGTCTGCAGTCACTCTCCTTTGAATGGTCTCCTACACTCTTTCTGGCAGTTTTTGGGTTGGAGTTGAAACACGCTCAGAACCCATCCATTTTCTTCCCCTAGGAGGCTTAAATGAAATGGATCTGGCAGAACTCATTTCGGCGTGGAGCTCCCTGCCTCTTCTACAGACCATCCAGGCACTCTCTGGCAGGACAGGAAACGGGGGATTTCACAATCATCTGACCCGAACTGCTCTGCTAGTTCATTAAAGCTAAAATACCAAGTACATTCCTATTTGCAAGTAATTAATTTATTTCTGTTCAGAAAGGCTTAGTAGAAAATTCAGCTATGTTTACATGAGGAGTCCAAATAATGCCAAATAACGTGCTTTTTTCTTACGGTTTTTCTTTTTTAAAAATAATTCTGAAACTCTCTTACCATGTGGTAAGCTCTGCAGCAGTTGCCTATAGGCAAGTAAGAGCAATTGAAGACATCTCACAGAAGACCTGCATACCTGAAGGGATGGATTAATTTTAAAGCGAAAAAACTAGCAAAATTAATGTGTGGAAAGCTCCTGTACGCAGATGGAGAAATGAATGAAGTCTAAATACATAATTAATAGAAACAACCCTCTTACAGACAAAAAGATGAAATCGAGTATGTCATTTACTCATAAATATTTAAGGAGGTTTTCTTGGAATAGTAATCATCCTCCAAAATCCAAGAGTCCACAGGAACATGTTCTAGTCCTTCATTCTGAGGGAGGGGTAAATGCATTTACTTAAATTACATATGTATTTGACTTACAAGGCCACCCATTATTTGGTCTCGGGCAACAGTCAAGCTACCAGTAAGCTATTTTACAGATTATTCTATTTATATAAGGTAAATACGAGTAATTCCACTGGAGCCTGAAAAGCTTTCAGCCCACACCGGTTTTAGGCAGTTGGAATGTGGTCCAGAGACTGCATCTAAGTGATACCAGCCCTTCTACACTATTTCAATGTATTTATGTTGTCATACAACTGTAATTAACAAGCAGTCTGTAAGCTACATTTTATTACTGTTTTACGAATATTTGAAAAAAAATGTAGTTGTAGCAAGGATGAGCCTTTTGGAAGACAGGTACGTGCTGACTAATTTTATAAAGAGGTCTTAGAAAATGTTTCAAGACCCTGGCACATAAAATGAATAAAATTTGGTATTATTATTTTTTTAATATCACAGTTGTATTCACAAGTCCCATGAGATATTACCCATCGCTTCAAAACAGTAAGAAAACAATTACTGACTTAACGTATAAACGACACTAAGCCAGCAATGCTGAATGAGGCTCACTGACAATAAGCAGGAATTCAAGAAATGACTGTTTTTCAGTATTAGTGTGTTTCAGCTTTGCCATGGCAAGAGAAAGATTCTGCCTTTTTGACAAGGCAAAAGCTTACTCATTGCTGAGCTCGTTCTGAAGAGGTTTGCGTCCTATACTGTTCATATACAATGGTATGGAAAGAGAGAATGTTCAACATTGTAGACATCTCAGAGCTCTCTGGAGCATCGTGTGACGCTCTAGTGTCCCTCACGGCTGAGCCACCAGCGGTGGGTTGTCCCACGACTCACCTGCCTGTCCCACAGCAAGCACGTTTTGAAGAGCTCCACTCACCTGTGCAGCAGCTGGAATTTTTTCATGATTAAAAGGTGTCTGAAGACAGGGAGAATGAGGTAGCACCAGCTGACTGATGTGTGGACTTTGAAGAAACAGGTTGATCACTGACAACCATCAGGGGAAGAGCTGTGAGGTGTTGGTCTTCTCCCAGAATGGAAGCAGATGCTGTTTTCCTTCCGTTTCCAGTAGAGAGAACAGTTTCACATCAGAGCCTTCTGGAGACAGACCAAAATTTGCAGTTATCCTATTTTGAAAAGACTACCCTTTGTAAAGGTAGGGGAAGGAGGAGAGGGAAATATTTTGGTTTCATGTCTGGATATTAGTTCCTCAGTTGTTTTCTACTGTTTACAGCTTTAACTTCAAATCCATGCTTTTGAAGTATTTAGGCATTTACCTTGTCATTCTCAGATGCATTATTTTCTTCCATTAAAAGACTATCCTCTGTGTTACCATTTTGTAACCCAAAACTACATTTGGAAACAGAGAGGTCATCTTCAGCACTGCATTCAGCAGCAGGCTCAAAGTTAGAAATAGCTTCAGTTCTAGCATTTTAAAAAATACTCCGGTTTCCTTTTGTCCAGCAGGTTACTATCAGTGTCTGCTGAAGATCAGTGTAAGATGCTGTTTAATATTCATTCATGTTACCTCCCCCTGCATCATTAGCAGCAAAGATGTTTAAGAATTATCATGTGAGCTGGAGTTTCCGCTGGAGGCTTACTGGTGTGACTGAGGAAGGAAAAAAGGCTCCTCCAGTTTCTATTTAAAGGAAGAAAATGTGCTAGAGGTGAAATAGTGGCCCCACTAATCTCAACCTTTGTTATATTCTGTGTGCTAAGGGTGTGGCTGTTGATATTCCATGTCATAGGAAGGACAGAAGTACTCCACTAGATTTATTTGGAATTTGCTGCTATTTCGATTTAAGTGTATTGTAAGTGTGGACTGACTGCTCGGGCTGATTTTCAATGCCTACAAACAACTAAGAATCAACTCTGCTTCCCTCACACAAATATAAACACAAGATTGCTACTTTTATTAAAATATCAAAAGACAAATGTCATGCTGAGTTACCCATCTTCTGCTTTGCTTTTCAGGATGTTACACATTGAATTTGCAAGTCATCCACTCTACTATCAAAAAAATGTAATGTGAATCTTATTTTTAAAAAAAAAGTTATCCTGTGTTCTTTATCTCCTATATGAAAATGGGTGTTCCCAAAAGGAACATCCATTCTTGTAATCTACATGAGCCCTGTTCAGCTCCAAAGACTGAAACTAGTCCTGTGTAACAGACTTCCACGTTTCTTCTAGACTCCCACAAGAAGGTGCACACCCAGTTAAGCTTCTTACGCTTATCTGCAACAGGGAAGGTAAAAGGACACAAAGCTTGAAAGATTTTAAGCTGATTTTGCAGCAAATGCAAGTGAAGGGAGCTTAAAAAAGTTTAAACCCTTTCTTGGTTTACCACCCATCACA